AGGATTACTATATATGTACAAAATCTACGTATAAAAATTTCCAAAACAAATCTTGTACTATTACATGTAATACAACATGTATCTTCAAAAGCAGATAACAGATTAGGAAAATAATCATATTTTCCCTTTCCCTTTAATATCCCTGGACTCCGCTATTTCTGCATTGCATAAATTTTGAAACAGAAAATGAGGGTTAGACCTGAAGGGTGTAGTGAGTAAGTCCTTTTTTTTTTGCAAATGCATGGTGATAAATACCAAAATATAATAAAATATCTTTGATCAGGAATAATTGCAATATAATCCAATGATGCCGTTCTCAATATGAAACAATAATGAAACCAAAGATTCTTCAAATCATTAAACCATTCCTTTGTAAACATTTAACGGAAAGATTTAAGGCAATACTTGCTTTTTATGTCAAACCATTTTCCCCTTCTTAATAACATCTAAATTAATATTTCTAATAAGAATAAGGTGACATTTGTTTTTTTAAGAGGTGCTGAAGTCTGAAGTCTGAATTCACTTTTGAATTTTAAGAGGTGGTTCTGAAATCTGAAATCTGAAATCTGAATCAGTCAGACTGTTTGTTTTTACGTCTGAAATCTGAATCAGTCAGACTATTTGTTTTTACGTCTGAAATCTGAATCAATATAAACACGAACAAAGTCTCAGAACAACTAAAATAATATTCATTTTGCATTAATTGTATTGCCATCATCCCCTTGCTCATTGGTTTGATCATACTCAAAAAAATAACTCATATATAGGAGAAAAGAGCTAGAAAAAGAAAGGTATCAAACAAATAATAAGATGAATAGATTGATAAACTTTCTTTCTGGAACATATGAAAATAGTTTTCGTAAAGAACAAACCCTTCTTTACAGATAAGAGAGGCAGTTTGCAAAAACTAAACAAGTAAGGCCATCTTCATCAGCATGATGATGGTTTTCCCTACTATGAATCGCCACACACAAAACCAAAAAACAAAAAGCACTTCAGCTCTCATCTTCCTCCTCCAATCCTAATCGTTCATCCCTTCCATTTCCTAAAAATCATATCACAAATTAGATTAAACCAAACGAAACTGATTTCTACCCGAACACAAAACATTTGTTTATGTGAAACAACAAAACAATACACCAAAAAGAGAGTGATTTCACATATCATTTTTGAGACACAATGAGAGATTGAAACAAAGATGTAGAGAAGAAAAAGGAACAATATGAACACTATAACATTCATCATTATTAGTACCCAGCAATGATGCTCAACAAAACTTGTATGTCTAGTTTCATCTGGATATCTCTATATACTACAAAGGGAATTATGTAAAGAAAACAAAACTCATAAACTGAGGTCAATAATTCTACACAAAGACTGTCTCATTCCATCATATATATGAAGAACACAAATCCATGTATATATATATGAAGAACACAAATCAACTTTGTATTAGAACATAATTTTTTTAATTCAAGAAAAAGACCCTCATGGCTAGAAGAAGCTTTTAAAACTAGTCCATCTTACTTTTGTGTGTGTGTGTGTCTATATATATATATATATATATATATATATTACCTAATTAACTCTCACATATTACAAATATGCTCCTTCAAAACCATAACACAATCAATATCAACTCACCTCTGGATTTATCCCTTCTTCCTTTTCAAATATTCCAGCAGCCTATAAGAAAAATCAACATCATTAGATTAACTACTCAACAAGTATTGCCTATTTTTTTAACACTTTTGGTTCATACTATCCTACTTTACCTTAAAAGATATTCATTAATTACCTTGGCTTTTCCTATAGGGAGGCAGAAACTTGAATCAAGGGCTTCCCCGAAAATGGGGAAGGACTCGCCATATCTAAAACACACACAAGGTAGACTACACTATCTGTGATCTAAACAAAAATGGCAAGGATGCTTGGATATTTGACATTGATGGCACCCAAAAAAAGAGGAATGCAGATAAATCCTTACATGGCCTCTGGTATTTCCATGGCATTTCTTATGCCAAACCAAAACAAAAAGAAAACATATAAATAGTCAACTATTTAAAAAACCCAAATCTAAGAACAATTCTTATATGTTTTGAACACATAACTCATGCTTCCTGTTGTGGGTTCTCAGAGAGATCGAGAGGCAGAAGACCTATTACCTTTTTGTTTTACGAATAAAAATATTCCAATAAAAATATTCCAGAAAAGATCTTCTTAAAAAAATTTGGTTTTACGAATCCATAGCTTAATTGTTGACGTTTTGACTCGATTTCTCCAATTTTCTCAATCTAACTCCGATTGGGATGAAAATTTCTAAATCCTCTCATATACTCCAAAGAAGTATGACCTTAAAATTTCATCCCCAAATTCCCACTAAATCATTGGTTATCTTATATGGCCACTACTAATACACGTAGTAAAATTTCAACATGCTTAACATTTTCTCGCATGTAAGCACATAATATCCTTCGTAAAATGTAAATTAGGCGCACTTAGCAAATAATATGGGAAATTAGAATTGGGATGTTACACTTCAATTACTTGTATACACAAGTACATACCGTCCAAATGAATAGTTACCAAAGCATTCCTCAATTTTTCATTTTTTGGGGGTTTTCCCCTTAACTTCCCTCTATATATAATTATCTTAAACTTTAATATAAGTACACATATTTATAAATAACACCCTGTAATTATCATAATTATGTTTCAACACATATTTTTGTAATTATCCTCCAAGAATAATTATTTTCCATAATCAACTTGATTTAATTGGGTTTCTACAAATAGAAGCAAACATATTGTTTGTGTGTGACCCTATAGATTTATATACGTCCTAATAGTACCCCTGTATGACACATGTCATGCACATATAATAACTTATAAACCCCTTAATCATATATCAGTCGTATTATTTCATACAAGTCATAATTAACCCCCCCCCCCCTTCAAAATTATAAAGTTGTATAAAAGAAATAGTTGGTACTTGATACAACTATTTTAGAGTAAATTACGGATTTGGTTGATGTGGTTTGTTAAAAAAATTATGGAATTGGTCTTTAAACTTCATTTATTACATAAGTCTCTGTATTTGGTAGAAGCAGTCTTGAAGAAGAAGCTATCTCTCGATTTTTCTTCAAAAGGTTGAACGAGTTTCAAGCAGAAGTAGAAGCTCGAGGGAGTTGAGCAAGGTCGAGTTCGGTGTGTGGTTGATGGAGATCAAGTCCAACAACCCGGTATGTTGCCGCCAGAGCAAGGAGTGGGGAGCGAAAGACGTCGCCAACACAACAGTGTTTGAAGTTAGGGTTTTGATTCTATGTGCGTTTTGTTTTAAGAGGCTGCAACACTAAAACCTACGTGAAAAACACACACGTCCACGCTCTCTCTTAAACTTATAATATGATCAAGAATCCAACCCAACCTAACTTAATGTCTTTCTGTACAATGAATTTAAATATCATTGTTAAGTTGTTAATTAATATATACACATTAGACATCACACCAACCCCTAATCGGATAACTGTAATTTTATTTTCTTATTTGCTTAGATTTTCAACGTTTTTTAGTTTGTTAGCATTTTTTTATGTCCTCATTGTGATTTTACTTCTTTTAAACACAAATGCCTTAACTAGATTGTAAAATAATGTACTAAAGTTTCAAGTCGACCAACCTGTACGATTTAGGTTGGGTAAAAAAAATTCAAACCGCAAACATTAAGTTAAATTATTCAAATGTCTTCAACTTGACCAACCCAACCAATTGTGCAGTCATAGTTGTTTGTTCCAAGGACCAAATCCAAAATAACATGCAAACATGAATGCTTATAATGCAATAAATGAAGTTAAAGAGCCAATTTTAATATTATTAACAAATCATAGAGAACAAATTCATAATTTAGGGGCCGTTTACCTAAATGCTTAACCGGTAAGTGCTTAACATTAGGAGTCAATTTATTTTTATTGGGTAAGACTGTAGTACATCAAAACGTATCATATACTAACAATTTACCTGGTAAGCACTTACCCGGATAAGGGTCATCCCCTCACTTACCGGATAAAGACTCTCCATCCTTATCATCGCTCTTACCGGATAAGATTCTTGGCCCTTGCCATGTTCATCCGGCGAAGAAAATTACCCGGTAAGTACTTAACATTAGGAGTCAACACTATATTTTATTTTATTGGGTAAAATTGTAGTATATCAAAACGTATCGTATACAACAATTTACCCGGTAAGCACTTACCTGTGTAAGAGTCGTCACCCTCACTTACCGGGTAAGCCTATCCATCATTATCATCGTTCTTACCGGATAAGATTCTTGGCCCTTGCCATGTTCATCCAACGAGAAAAATTACCCAATAAGTGCTTATCGTTAGGAGTTAACACTATAATTTATTTTATTGGGTAAGATTGTAGTACATCAAAACGTATCATGTACAACAATTTACCTGATAAGCACTTACCCGGATAAAAGTCGTCACCCGCACTTACCGAGTAAGATCCTCCATCATTATCATCACTCTTACCAGGTAAGTACTTACCGAATATGCGTTTAGTAAACGGCCCCTTACTCTTATTGTATGTATCACTTTCCAAACATTCATTTTGTTATCCATCTTATATATTCAGACCAAAGTGCCTTAATACAAAATACAAAATCAACCAATATACATCGCATTTTTATGCATTATAAGATTGCCACATATATTTAGACAGTGTACACAATAAAATAAAAATCCAACAAAATCTAAAGCAAAACTAACAAACCCCATGATGGGATCTGAGGAATATACGATGTATACAGACTTGACCTCAGATCAAAAAGCACCCTTGGCTGAATGGTTGATCAAAAAGCACCCTTAGCTGAATGGTTAAAGCACCCAACTCATAATTGGCGAATTCGTTAAGTTCAATTCCAATAAAGGAAGACAACGGTTTCCGAGAAAACTCTTGTGAAAAGTGTGCAAAAAAAGTCACGACCAACAAAGAAAAGATGGATCCCCCAACACACCATGAAACCATGTTATTGCAATGCATCAATTTAAGACTTAAAAAGTTTTTTAAGAAATATTTTAGGTTTGTTTTTCCCAAGAAAAAGAACACAAATGAAGCTGTGTGTACATGCTCTCTTCTGTAGAAACAAACATCCTTCGAGGAAAAAAAACCCCTACAAAACTCTCATGCAACAAGGGAGGAACCAAAATTTTGATTCGAATTCGTCAAAATTACACAAGAAATGTTCGGATCTCACCCTTGAACGCCACCGTTTGTTGTTGTTTCGTCCATCGCCACTGCTTCATCGCCTTCACCTTTTTCGCCTTTCTTGCCTGAAGAAAAACAACACTAGTTAAATTTTTTATAATTTATGCTTATTGAAAAAATACGCCATGTGATTAGAGCCACGTGCTAGCTGCGAAATTCACTTTTTTTTCTTCCAATTATGCCCTTTTTACTGAATTGATAAATGTTTAAATGTCCTTTTTAGGTCATTTTATATTGTCATCTACTTTATCGGCTAACATCTTGCTTATTTACCAGGAACTAGCTTTTTCAGCCTACGAGCTAGTTTTGCTGAACATAGCCAACGTCCAATTCATAACTTTGGTTCCGAACCCAACGTCCAATTTGTACAGTTATTTCCGACCAAGACCCTACTTACAAGTGAGATATACTTTGTTTGGTTCAGCGAAGTATATTTAGGTAATCTTGTATTGTGGTTAGGGCTGCACATGGTTTGAGTTGGTCAGGTTGAAGGACTTGGACAACCAAACCAACCCAAGGTTTGCGGTTTGAAAAATCTCAACCCAAACCCATAGTATAGAAATTGTAATATAAATTTTGATTATAGGTACGGGTAGGTCTAATGTACATATATTAATCAATAACTTAACAATCATGTTAAATCCCTAGTATAGAAAGGCATCGAATTCATTGGGTCGGGTCGGGTCGGTTTCAAATTAACCGAACCCAATTCCAACTCAATAGATGCGGTTTCGCCTAATATTGTATCAACTATGTGTCGGTTTACCCTGGGTTGAGTTTTTTTGGGTTGGGTTGGCCAGGTTAGTAGGTTTTTTGAGCACCCCTAATTGTGGTTGCGAAAAAGAGATATCTAGAGTTTTTAGACTATACCCTAAAAAGAAATATGCTGCCATTTATTTTGGAATGGAGAAAGTATTCCATATTAGTAAAAAGCCAGATTTATGGCAAATTACCTTTCTTTTTCTTGCCACCACCCTTCTTCTTGCTCTTCACAGCTAGAGCTAACCAAGCTTTAATTTCAGGGTCATCAACAGTTTTAGTTGGCTGCAACTCCTGCAGAAAATGTGACGTAATGCGGTCTGATCCATTTGGCATTAGAAGAACCGTGAATTTGATATGTGCAACAAAATCACCTGCATCACGAATACCCAATGATTTTCACTCAAAATTAGGAGCATGGAAATTTGCATGTTATTGCTTACGCTTAACAATCTTTTCAAGTTTAGTCTTATTTGCGCCTCTTTTTTCGCACAAATTTCCGCTCTACTCTTTGGGATACATCTTAACCCCCAGAACTGCACTAGTTTGGTTTGATTTGGTTTTTAATTGTTACATAAATATCAAGGATGGTACTCATACCAGGCTTTTCATGAAGAACAGGGTATGGCTGCAAAAGCTCGTGATTAACACACTCAACCAATCCTAGCCGAGCACGCTTCTCTTCCAGAGCCCTATAACCAACAGCACGCCATATACCGATTGGAATTGGAAGTTCAAAGACCAAGTATGCAAAGTGGATATAATGAAACAGTAACAAACCTAGCTGAGAACGGCATGATTGGATATTTTTGGTTGATCTCGCTAAATATGAAACGGGATGCTTTCATTTTCAAGTGATAATTCTTGTCAACAGCTCTTTTGTAAATTGTCGTCTGTTTCTCATCCAACAACTTTGGCTGCAAAAATCATCATCAAAGCATAAAGCTTCAAATATCAATGCAGCTAAACAAATAGAAACCCTTTTCTAAAACTCTCGAGTAATTATTACCTTGCCATCTCCAGTGCTTGCAACTATATCAATTGCATAAACTTCATTCTCCTCAAACTCGGCATCATCAACTCTGGTATCAGGATTTGTGACACTTAAAACAACTTTGTTTCCATCAATCACAAATTGCTTCAGTTGATGACTAAGAACACCTTCGACAATTTTGCAGTCATATGCAGCTGCAACCTTTTGAATGGCTTCAGTCACGTCTTGATTCTGCATTATTGAAGATATCAAGAAAATGAACTTTTGTACCATCCAAGACTTTTTGAACTAGAAAAAAGCAGAATTTGATAAATCCACCACAAACAAAAAAATAAATATTAATCAGCTTATGACCTTTCCAAGTTCAAAAAAATAGTAGCATCCAAGTTCACTTACTATAATATGCATTTTACAATATTTTTAGTTCCATAGTTAGACAATTTTCTATATAATGTGTAAAAAAGAAATTCCACAGCTTAGATTAATAAAGCTTTTGCAACTATAAATTCACATATCATAAATTTAGTGAAAGACATTCTGTAGCAAAAGAGTAGAAACACTCAGAGTAACCATCACATAAGGAGCACCCATAAATATATAAACACTTATTTGGAGTGAGAACTGAGTCAACCCAAGTTAGTCTATAAATATACTTATATAGAGGTGAACAGTAACTAATTTAAGCATCAAAGAATGGTGAACATTTGGTACCAATGACTATTAAGGAGAAATAACTTCCATGCAGGTAGCAGAACAGAAATATTTAAAAACCAAAAAACGACATGATAATCTATCAGTGTAACTATGACTATTAAAAGCATCATAGGAGAAACTCCATAGCCCAAAAATAAGTACATCATTTAGAGAAATCATGTCATTTCACCCCATTAGGGTCATATCATACCAATATGAAAATAAAGACAAGGGTCATGCCATAAAGACACTAGAGCCCTACTATCTAAAATAATATATATATATATACACACACACAAAGTGACAACTTCGAGTAAAAAACGACAGGTATTTAGACAATAAACTAATGGAAGCTGGAAAACACTTTTGGGGGGAGGGGGGGGGGGGAAGAACAATGATCCAATATCAGTGTAACTATGACTATTAAATGCATCATAGGAGATACCTCCATAGCTAATAAACAATTTACATCATTTAGAGAAATGTCATTAGTTCCCCATAGGATACCTTGTAGAAGTCAAAAACAAAATAAAAGGTTTATTCCTCAAGAGCCATAAATTAAAAACACTAAAAACCCACACCCCAAATAGAAAATACATAAAAATGGGTTATAATGAAGGAATAACTTCAAGGCAGGAGAAAATAAATCCAGAGAATAAATTGTTGGAAGCCTCTAAACGATTAAGAAGATGAAATAAACAAGATTCACCATCACTATAACAAAAGCATCATAGGAGAAAACTCCATAGCCCATAAATAACCACATCAGCTAGTGATAGTGTGTTATCAGTTCACCACAAGACCCGACAAAAAGATGAATAAACAAAATAAAAGGTGCATCTGTAGATCGATGATAATGACATTAAAGGTCATCCATTAGAAAGGAACACAGAAACTGACTCCAAATAAAAAATATAGATAAATAACTTTTTAACATGAAACAGCTACCAGTCAGTTGATGGATATCCATGAAATAAATTATTGGAAGCAAGAAAATTCTTAAAATGTAGAAAGAAACATGATTCTCTATCAGTGTAACTATGACTATTAATAGCATCACAGGAGAAACTCCGTAGCCCATAAATACTACATCATTTAGAGAAATCATGCCCCTATCAAGGATGTAAAGGTACTACAAAAAACATATCTGCATGATACAAAAAAGATATCAAAGAGGACTGCTCGTCTCCAAATAAAAAACAAGCGGTAGTAAATATGGTAAGAAGAAAGGACATATAAAACCTAGAGAAAAGAACAAAGATTAGCAATCAAAGAAATATGGACGAAATAACTTTACATATAACTACCCGTCAGGAAAGAGAGGTCCATAGAATAAACTATTGGAAGCAAGAAAATTATTACAATGTGGAAAGAAACATGATTATCTATCAGTGTAACTATGACTATTAATAGCATCACAGGAGAAACTCCATAGCCCATAAATGTTACATCATTTAGAGAAGTCATGCCCCTATCAGGAAGGCAAAAGTACAACAAAAAACATATCTTCATGATACAAAAAATATCAAAAAGGACTTCTCGACTCCAAATAAAAAATAAGCCATAAAACATGCACAAGAAACATATGCATGTGCATGGGTACACGCATCTATAAACATAAATGAGTATAACAAGCTTAAAAATCACAACATTCTACCAAACAGAACTCCACAAAATCTCTAAAGACCATGCTGGTAAACAACTAGAAATAAGTATCAGTTCCCACGAGAGGTCTTTTTTAACTATGATCGGTTGTTCATCACTTGTTAAGGGAATAACATTAACTAAAAATATGACATTACAAACACAGCTACTAGTGCACAAAATATATCTGACAATGGGTTTACTACAAGAAATGAAGGCAACGTAAATCTCTACCAAAAAACCATGACAAAACATCATTTAAAATGATAAATAGAGTTCTACAATTAGGCATTTAGAAAATTATAAGGATTTCCAAAATATAAACATCATGATACAATTTTCTTCTACATGGTTAAATTGAATCCAGCAAAATAAGAAGAACCAATGGAACATTCATCAAGTGGTAAAAAAAATTCAGCTTTATATAGAAAAAAATGAAAAAAAAATTAACAAATAGATTACCTTCTTTCCAGGTCTCACGAGCCTTAAGGCAACCTCAGCAGCAGTATTTGCAGCGGCAATAACATCAGCTGCTCTTCCTGTCACTGGGCCTTGCTGAAGGACATGAGTGTGCCCCACCACAGCTATGAAACCATCTATATGACAGCCCATATCACTGGAACCAAATCAAAACCAATCACTTAATCACATTAATAATCATATCAATAAGCTAGAGTCAAGCCTTTGAAGCTAACTAAACCCTGTCAACACTTACATTTTCAAAATGTCACCTTCTTTCAAGACCGTCTCATCGCTGGCAAGAGGGGAGTAATGGCAGACTGTGTTGTTCACAGACAAACATGTTGGAAATGCAACACCCCTTTCAATCTTCTTTTTTACATTCTTGTACATATTCCCAGTTTGCCTATATTAATAGATAGTACAGACATCAAGTCCAGCGTTCAATTATAATAGCACACTCATGTAAAAATTGAACAAGATAAAAGCTTACTCTCTGATATATGAGTCTCCTTTCTCGCAAATGTCAACAATCTTGGCGTTGGGCTTGCATTCTGACAATACCAACTGCAAGGCCTCTGCAAGAATGATCAAGTTGTACCCTTATCAACTTGACAAATAAGAGTACAAAAAACTCTAATCTAAAACAAAAGGATATGTTTGTATGTAACCGAACTTAACTAATCAGATAAAAGATAAGATGAAAAAGTTCACATTTGGATAGAAGCTACTAGCAACAACTAGCTCAAGCATAATACTATCCCTTTAACTTTGTATGCTTTATAGCATGCCTTTGGAGTCAATCTTAGAAGGGAATGAAAATGCATCCATATCATCAATCATAGAAAGAGGAATATAATGTGGAGGAGAATGAACCAGAAGTAACATCGGTATCTGCAATCATTGGAAGAAAATTTCTTTTTAGGAGGAAGAGAGTTCTATTTCTTTCATAATACGACTTCGTAATTACTAATAAAGAAAGTGAGCTTGGGCAGTAGAAGACTAAGAACAGAGAAGATGGTTCTTATTGTTTCCAAACCTCTTACCCACATAGCAAATGAAAGAACTTCCATTTCCACATCAATTTTAAAAGTAGAGAACTTCAGCGATACACCAAGTATTCAGTAACATAAATCCTTCATCTAACTGATTCAATAGGACTTCAAAATACCCCAAAACAATACATCTCCCTGATTATATCAAAACTAATCTTTTGCTGATCTTAATCACGCAAAAATAATCATAGAAGTGAAGTTAAGTTCCCTGCATTTCTTGAACATCTCCCAACTCCCTCAAATTCGAAAATGCACGAACACAAAAAACCATATACATGTCGAATAAAAAATCAACAAAATGCGATAACTCAACAAATTATACAACAAAAAATGGATGAATAGTATTTACTGTTGACAATCTCAGCGGCCGATTTGTATTTCGTTACAACTTCAGAAGAGGAAAGATCCAACTCCTTCTCTTCCCCTCTTTCATCGTCCGACATATTTCTTCAAACAACAATAAACGTTACAAAAACCAACAATTAGGTCAAGAAAAAAAAATCATAAATAGATGAATAAACGAGTTGAATTAAGTAATGAATTGGTGAAAAAAAAACGAATTGCAATCTGAAAGATAGGACTTACCAGAAATTAATAGAGATTAGGGTTTAAGCAAGGAGAAAAGATTTTGAAAGAGAACTGGAAGACAGAGAGTGTGGGTCGGTGTTTGAGTTGGGACTGGGGCTAGGGTTTGAAAGATGGCCGTGGTTTTGCTTTTATACCGATGCGTTTCACTGTTTTTAGGGTTTTTGCCTGGTTCACGATTTCACGTTCATTCCGTACGCTATTTACGTTTTGTGTACATTACACTTTTGGTCCTTGCAGTTTACACATTTTAACAATTTGTTCTTGAAATAAAATGATCATGGGAAAGGACTACATTTTTTAACACCTTGGATCTTTGTCGTTAACTCCATTTATAAATTATGTTATCATATTTAAGGGTAGCTTGGTCTTTTTACCTTTTTAAAAGATTAATATATATATATATATATATATATATATATATATATATGTGGAGGTTCAAAGAAGAGCACTTTCATTTTATGAGAACGCAAGAACATCCTTATCATATGTGATAATACGCGTGAGGGACCCTGTGATATGCGGACGACGTGTTTTGCGACTTAGGCCACGTCAAGGGTTGTTTGCGTCTATGATTTAGCGTCACATATAATAGTCTTAATGAATTATAGTATCATATCAACAATACCCTTATCATATGTGTTAATACTTATGAGGGGGCTTAGTGGTGTAAGGGCGACTTGGCTCGCAACCAATATCACATTGAAAATTGTGTGTGTCTCTGATTTAGTGTCACATGTGATTGAATAATAGTATCACATGTAATTGTCTATAATAAAGAGTGTTTTCACGTTCTCATAAAATGAAGATCTCATTTGAACCCTTCCCTATATATGTATATATATATATATATATATAGGGGAGCGATCAAATGAAAACCACTCAATTTGTAAAAACCGTAAAAACCTCATTCCACCAATCATAATTTTTCATTTTGTTCATTTCTTTGTAATTATAAGAGGTTGATTAATCATTTTTATTGTAGAGGATGTTAATCATGGATATTATCATCTTCATTATTTTAATTTTAGAGAAATACATGAAACAATTTTATTAAAATTTTATTAAGTAGTATATGAAACAATTTCATAACCATATATGAAACAACTTCATCAAAAAAAGTATTATATGAAACAATTTCACAAGATTAAATAATTTCATGAAAAAATTTCATAAGATTACGACGGATGAGAGTAGTTTTTTACGGTTTTTACAAATTGGAGTGATTTTCATTTGATCGCTCCTCTATATAAAACAGTTTCATTAAGTAGTATATGAAACAATTTCATAACCATATATGAAACAATTTCATAACCATATATGAAACAATTTCATAACCATATATGAAACAACTTCATCAAAAAAAAGTATTATATGAAATAATTTCACAAGATTAAACAATTTCATGAAAAAATTTCATAAGATTAAACAATGAAATCGACGAATAAGAGTAGTTTTTACGGTTTTTACAAATTGGAGTGGTTTTCATTTGATCGCTCCTCTATATATATATATATATATATCGAGGGATAGAGAGTATGTCAAACACTTCCCTTGTCACCCCCGGTGTCCGGCCTCCTTCCCTCCCCTTTCTCAATCTTACCAATCACCATGATTAATCTCTCCCCCTCCAGTATTTTCCTCCTTCGTCACTGCACAATAGGATACGATTTTTTGCAGTTGAAGTTATTTCATCTCTCATGATAGCATCATCACTCCCGGACTGATTTTTTGCACCATAAACCATCAGTCGCATCTTTATCAACCATGGAATCAAGACTTTAACATTTTGCATCTCTATCAACTTGTTTTAACAAAAAAAAGGACCACCCACGTAAAAAACTCTATCACCACCCGTAATCATATCACCATAGAAAATGACACCATCCTCAATAGCATAAGTTAAACTACTACGACCAATGAAAACAAACTGTCATCAGCGTCGGCAGAAAACGCACCCAAAGAAACATGTATGCCTGTAGAAATTTACTAATTGTTCGCCAGTATACTATTTTCATTTGTATAATAGTCAACATTTCCTGCATCTTAACATACCCTCCCTTCGGTTTTTTCTTGCGAACTTTAACCCTACTCACTAAATTCATCACCGATCTAAGCACTCAAACTCACTACTATCAAATACCTCTGTACTAATTCACCGAGTTGAATTTCGGTGGATGAGGACAAAGATAAGGTGTCCTCACATGGAGTGGTGTACTATATATAAAGGTTGGTTCAAGTAAGAATGATATATATGAGGAGAATGTAAAGGTTCATATGTGAATCATTTAATACATTTGAAAAAACTACTTAAAGATGTATATGTGAACCGACGTTACACATTATTCATATATGTTCAGTTGTGCATATTCAAATGAATTTTTCAATGATTCACATGGGAAACTTCTATTAACATTATATTCTTATCTTTTCAAGATATTTTTTTTTTATTTGGGCCTCCCAATGTCTGTATATATCATACTAATATGATATAATAACTTTTTTTAATATGAAATGAGTAATATAAGTAAAATTAATGATGAAATTGCCCCTAATTAAATGAGTTAGGGACCGTTTACCCAATTGCTTATCTGGTAAGCGCTTATCGATAGAACTCAACACTATGATTTATTTTGATGCGTAAGATTTTAGTATATCAAAACATATTGAATGCAACAATTTACTGGGTAAGAGTCGTCATCCTCACTTACCGGGTAAGACTCTCCATCATTCTCATCGCTCTTACCCGATAAGATTCTTGACACTTCTCATGTTCATCCGATGAAGAAATTTATCCAGTAAACACTTACCAAGTAACTGTTTAGTAAACGGCCCCTTAATTTAAGTTTTTAAACAGAGACCATCTACTGTAATACAATTTATTAAGGACATAACCATTGCTTTAACAAATCTAACATTAATTATATTAATAAACTATTTAATACACTTAGGGGGTTGTTTCACAGTTGTTAAATGGTCTAATACAAAAATGATTAAGTAATCAAAATAATTAAGAGGCTTTGTATAATTTTATACCGAATGAAAAATGACTTTCTGATAGAAACAATAAAAAGATATTTCTTTCTCTACCAATATTTAACTTTAAAGATTTTTACATTTTCTCTCATACTTTCTTCAAAATAAGAAACTTTTGAAGGATTTCAGGGATAAAAAATTAAAACAAAAACTCCAATCCATCTTCTCTAGAAGAAGTTTTTTTTGGAGAAGACCGAACGAATAAAGTCATTTTCATCCATTATTGGATTGTTGTGGTGTTTAGTAAATGTTACTTTAACAACTGATTTTTAAAAAGTAAATATATTTCTAGTTCTGATTAACAGATTGTTAGTCATTTTGAAAAATACGTATTTAAACACCGTGTTATGGTATATTTTAGATATTAACTGGTGTCTGATGTATTTTATTTATAACTGGTTGTGTATCCGCGTAAACTTAGTATCCGCGTAAACTTATACGATTCCTTTACATTCATTATTATCTGGCCAACTGTCTCTTCACAAATGTAGTTTTCCCTAAACAACTCAAAACATCAAACAAAAGAGTTAATTTTCAATACAGTAATAAGGACTCAAGTGGACATTCAAACTGATTTCCGTAACCATTTTCAAACCATGGGAACAAATATCTAGCATCAGATAGTTCAATCGTTGTGGATGGTTTCTTATTACAAAAAATTAACCTGCTTGTTCTTGTTCAACTTCTTCAGACCCTTAGCTTCCATATATTCAAATCCAATCTTTTAAGCTCGTAAATAAACTAAATAAGGTTATTAACGTGCCTATCATAACATGAATGAGAAAAATCAATTTGAAATTACCTGATTTATCCTACACAACAACATTGTTTTAAAGGCACTATCTCATGATACTGGTTATCTAACACTTGTGCATATTCCAATAAGGACACCTTTTAGTCATCTAACACTTGTGCAAAGGCTCTACAGATAGAATCCCTCATGTATGTCTGCAACTGACATATGAAAAGCCCAAATAATAACAATGCAGACAATAAAGAAGGAAATATATGAAAAATTGGCAAAATGCAAATTAAAGTAGCAATATACTATATAACAATGGAATTGCTGACCAAGAGTCTTAATACATATGTAAAACATATTGATAACCTTAAACAATAGACCTTAATGTGAAGCAGTGTGTCAAAATCGAGTTGATCTCTTTCAAAGTCAAACATCATAGCTTTGTAGTTTTTGGAACGTTCATATATGCAAGTTACTTTTCATTCATTGATTCAACAACTTCTCAGCATATTATATTTTGCATATTCCTTATGGTTGTGCACACAGTGGCAGATGCATAGTAAAGGGGTAGGGGGTACAGGCCCTCGACAAACTAACTCAAAAAAACACCCAAATAAAGCATGAGTGGTAGGTTTTAATTTTTCTTTAACCCAAAAATATTATGAGTGGTAGGTTTTAATTTTTCTTTAACCCAAAAAAATTAATATTTCTGGAAAAAACTCAGCTTCAAAGATTTTTAGGAAGTTTAAATTATATTTCAGCCTATATTAAAGACTTAAATAACCATACAACAATTTTGTATGATCGCCTAAAGAAAAATTCTTGTAAATGGACTGAAAGTCATACCTTAGCAGTTCAAGAAATTAAGAAGAAGGTTAAAAACCTTCCTTGCCTTATGCTTCCTAATCTCCTTTGGGATAAAATTGTTGAAACAGATGCCGCAAATATAGGTTATGGAGGAATTTTCAAACAGATAAATCCGATTTCTATACTTTCTTGAAGAGAAGTAATTTGTTCTCCTATTATTGAAAGAGAAAGATTTGTATAATTTTGTTTTTCAAGTAACTCATTAATATGAACAACAGTTATTCATAAAACATTATCTTTAATGAGTTTAGAAAAAGCTGAAAAATTTATTATAAAAGTATCATTTTTCTTCATTTTGAAAGCCGATTGTGGAGGAAAAACAGAAGTTTGATTTTCTCCTGAAAGAAGTTGATAATTTCTTTCAATAACCTCAATGTAATTTTTTACATGAGTATTTATGAACCAAGGAGTGAATGAAAATAATTCATTTTCTTTTATACAGAATTTATAAAACTCATCAGCAAAATCT